ATATTCTGTTGTTAATTTTACACTACTTTTTCAAAACATTTCAGTTCATTACTTGGTAAGTATTATGATTTAACCTCTCACTTTCCAGATTCCAAGATGACCTTGAATTGGCACAGCTTCCTAAAGCCAATGGAAAAGAAGAAGAAGAAAAAGATCATGTTAAGCTCAAATACATGATTGATGGGACAAAAATTCCTGAACAAAACACCACATCCAAGAAGGACAATGAAAATAATGAACACAGGGAGGTCTTTGCGAGGAGAAAGACATCCTTAAAGGCCAAAGTTCTGTCCCGAGTCTTCTCCGAGGACTACGAGAGGGTGAAGAGAAAGATACTCGATCCTCGAGGCCCTGCCATCCGCCGGTGGAACAAGATTTTCTTATTTACATGCTTGGTTTCCCTGTTTGTGGACCCTCTCTTCTTTTACTTGCCGTTGGTCCGCAAGGAAGTGTGCATTGATATCGGGATTCGCCTCGAAGTAGCCCTCACTATTGTTAGATCAGTAGCAGACATCTTTTACATTATTCACATTTTCATTAGGTTCCGTACAGCTTATATTGCTCCTTCCTCTCGTGTGTTTGGGAGAGGAGAGCTTGTTATCGACACTAAAAAGATTGCAAGGAGGTATTTGCGCCAAAACTTCTGGATTGAATTATTTGCTGCTCTGCCTCTTCCTCAGGTAGTTTGTAATCTTCTTCTTGTGATGTCATTATCTTTGACATATTTCGTTATACTAAAATATGAAATTTTGGTCTTTGTTTTAGGTGCTGATTTGGATGATTATCCCGAATCTCAGCGGCTCAACCATGACGAACACGAAAAACGTTCTCCGCTTCATCTTGATCTTTCAGTATGTTCCGAGGCTGTTTCTAATATTTCCCTTGTCATCACAAATTGTCAAGGCCACTGGTGTTGTCACAGAAACAGCATGGGCTGGGGCTGCCTATAATCTCATCCTCTACATGCTGGCAAGCCATGTTAGTCAAACTTTTCTGCTTTTCCCCCGCTTTTTCTTGCTTTTCTTTCTCAGTGAAAACTTATTCGTGTGAGAAAATAATAACCCATTTTGATCTATTTATGAGAGAAATATTATAGTTCATAAAAGCAACTTAGACTAAAATTAGACTCATTTATTTTTTCCTTTTAATTGAAAAAGGTTTTGGGAGCTTGCTGGTACCTACTGTCAATAGAAAGACAAGAGGCATGTTGGAGAAGTGCTTGTGACTTGGAAAAACCATTTTGTGAATATGGATACTTTGATTGCCACAAAATTAAAGGCCTTAATAGGCAGACTTGGTTCCCAACTACCAATGCCACAACCTTATGCAATCCAAGAAATAGCTTTTATCAATTTGGCATATATGGTGATGCAGTCACATACGATGTAACAAACGCAACTTTCTTCAACAAATACTTTTACTGTCTTTGGTGGGGCCTCAGAAATCTGAGGTATATATATTTTTCCTTCATTATTGCATAGGCCAATCAATCTCATCTGCGCCCTGAATTTTGAGATCATCGTCACTTTGTCTCATGTGCTTTAAAAACTCTCACTTTGCTCTTTAAATTTTGAATCAGTTTAACTTAACCTCTTCTATTAGAATTTTTGTTGACAACAAATGGAAAAAAAAGACAAGATTACCGCAATTCCCTCTTTAACGAAAGTTCTAACAGAGCGGGTTAAGTGAGAGTGTGAGACTAATTCAAAGATTAATAGGCAAAATGAAAAATTTTAAAGTTTAGGGCCTTAGGCAGCAAACTGAGAATGGACCCTAAAATTCAGGGCACACGTGAGAATAATCCTTATTGCATATGAAGATTTGTTAGAGCTTTATTAGAATAATCATTAATAATCTGCCATCACTCTAATAATAATTTGTGCAGTTCCTTGGGACAAAATCTTTCAACAAGCACATTCGTTGGAGAAATCACTTTTGCAATAATCATAGCAACTGTGGGGCTAGTCCTCTTTGCATTGCTCATTGGCAATATGCAAGTAAGTCCTTTGATGACCACATTGCCCTTCCTAACCGTGCATCAATTGAAGTTACAATATTAACTCTGAATTCTAATCACAAATTTTGATGGCAGACATATCTTCAATCAACAACCGTTCGATTAGAAGAATGGAGGATCAAAAGAACCGATACCGAGCAATGGATGCATCACAGGCAACTACCTCAAGAACTAAGACAATCAGTGCGAAAGTATGATCAGTACAAGTGGGTGGCTACTAGAGGAGTAGATGAAGAGACACTTCTCAAAGGTTTACCTATGGATCTCCGCAGAGATATCAAGCGCCATCTTTGTCTTGACCTTGTTAGACGAGTAAGTTTTTTTCAGTAATTTTGACCTTCACATATAATCTATATGATGTGCTCTTTTTTAATTATTTAGGCATTTTTCACATGGTAATCCATCTTTTGTAGTACTCACCACTTGCCGAATGAAGATTTATAGTATTTAATCCATATTTTGCACCAATCTCATAGACAAACGTTGCTCTAATGAGCGATTTTCACTCCAGTGATAGTCACAAACTGTAACATAACTACAAAATAGTATGAGATACATGATACGTAGCATTGTATTAAATAAAAAATAGTATAGATCAAATAATCGCTAAGAATACAAACCTTTTTTTTTTTTTTTTGCCAATTTGCAGTTGATATCTTATTATTTAATGAACATGATGATTAGGTGCCTTTGTTTGATCAAATGGACGAGAGAATGCTTGACGCAATATGTGAGAGGCTTAAGCCAGCATTGTGCACGGAAGGCACATTCCTAGTGCGTGAAGGTGATCCGGTCAACGAAATGCTCTTCATAATCCGTGGCCACCTAGACTCCTACACCACAAACGGCGGCCGGACTGGCTTCTTCAACTCCTGCCACATCGGCCCCGGTGACTTCTGCGGCGAGGAGCTGCTGACGTGGGCGCTCGACCCGCGGCCAAGTGTCATCCTCCCGTCCTCCACGCGCTCGGTCAAAGCCATATCCGAGGTTGAGGCCTTTGCTCTAGTGGCAGAGGACTTAAAATTTGTGGCCTCACAATTTAGGAGGCTCCACAGCAAACAGCTTAGGCACAAGTTCCGCTTCTATTCCCACCAGTGGAGATTATGGGCCGCTTGCTTCATACAGGCCGCTTGGCGACGCTACAAGAAGCGCAGGGAACTGGCTGAGCTACGGGCCAAAGATAGCCCGACCGTTGCTGAGCCCGAGCCCACGGCCCAACATGCTTCCGGCTTTGCAGTGTACGCAGCGAGGCTTGCGGCGAGCACTAGAAAGCCCGTTGTTAAGCATTCTGGGCCGGACTCTGGGGTTGTGAGCTCGTTGCAAAAGCCGGCCGAGCCCGATTTTTCTGTTTGCGAGGAATAGTGGGTGGGGTCCCAAATCTATGTTTTGGGTTGGGCCGGATTGGACATCGATTTACTCCTCATTCTAGGCCCAATAACAAGGAACGAGATTTAATATTTGAAAAAAAAAAAAAGAAAAACGTAGTTTGTATACAATGGGGAGTATGTTTGAGAACTTGGTTGGGATTTAGTCCACATATAATCAGGAGCTATTAATATTGTAAATTGTAAGATTCAGGTCTCTTGTGTAAATCTTATTCTTTATTTTAGTATGCAATAAGGGTGCTCTATATGACTGTTTAATTGATTGTGATATATTATTGCAAGCTAGTGGAAGCAAATTTTGCCTTTGGTTTGCACACAAGTTTTATTTCTCTTTTTCCTCAATGTTTGCTACTGGTGTTCGTGAAAAGAAAAAAAAAAAAAAGTCGAAGAAGAAGAAGAAGAAGAATTTTCCGCACTTTCATCCGTTGAATCTTTTCGTAAATTTGCTTCTTGAACGATTTATCTCGACAATCTACTCCCAAAATTTTGTAAAGTGTTGTAGATTGTCCCCAAAGCCATTATATGACTACTGAAATTTTGATGTAAGTGTTCTTTTACATGTGAGGTACTCAAACGAAGGCATTTCTAACAAATTTCAATAGCCCGTTATTGATTTTAGGATACTTGGCAATGAATTACAAAATTTAGGGCTATTCTTTTTTATAGAAAAATTAAATATTAAGGAGCAAACATAGTCATTTAATACAAATTCATTGGAAAAAGCACCAAGAACGCAAGAAATAGAAGTGGCGCCTTATCATATATGTGATGGTACAGATATCAGTTTTAAGTTTAGGGAGAAAGAAAAAAATAAGCTAAGATTTGAGATGAATTAAAATTAATAGGTCAATAATTTACATAAGTTAATAAATATATCAAATTATTGTTTACGTCCATAACTTGTCTTGTTATGAACCATAACTTGACAAGTTATTGTCCATAACTTGTCTGGTTATGAACCATAACTTGATAAGTTTGTCCATAACTTATCTGGTTATGAACCATAACTTGACAAGTTATGGCCTATTAATTTCTATAACTAAAAGATAGCCTATATACTTTCTTAACCTTTTCATATTGGCATATTTTCTACTATTTTCGTTAAGTTTATGAGATGAGTAGTTTTTTTTTTTTTTTTTTTTTTTTTTTGGTTTAAACTTCAAACGTAAAAATCTGGAATCAATCATTTGAAATCTACTCTAATTGAGCACCTTCAATGCAATGCCATATTTAACATGCCAACATTTAGTATTTAAGTGGAAAAAAGACTCTTTAATGTAATGTTATTTATTATGTTAAATTTGTTATAAGCTTTACTTTCTAATAAATTTCTCACCAAGTATAACATATTACAACTTGGCATGTAATTGTTATTGGTTAAAATGTTTATTTTTTCATGTAATCACTGCAACTTTTATATTTTCAAATTATTTTAAAAATAAAAGTTCAATTTTATAACTTTCAAAACTTATTGATTATAAGAACAAATATATTTAGCATTTCAAATAACATTATGTATCAGAGTACAAATGAAATTAAGATAGCATGTCTTACTTTTTAGTGTCAAATATACAAATATCATTAGCATTTGCATTAAAGATAGTATAAGTGTTTGGTAGGCTGCAACCGAGAATATTGGTCAAGCTGAAGTTGGTCAGTGGCCTCAATTTCGGCTTGAAAAATGGAGAATTTATCATTAAGAGTGCATGAGTCTGAACTTTTATCCTTTACTCTTGATAAATACCTTTTTATTAGTGTAATTATTTAACTAAAAATGTTATGAATCAATAATAAATAGTAAAAATCATGACTCGTACATTTTTAAAAAATATTTATCAACAAGAGTAACTTAGGCCGAATGATTAGAGTCCACACTTGGGCTCCTGTCCCAATGAGTGAATTAGTTATGAAAATTTTTATTTACACCCAAGCTTTTATTAAGGCACTCCAAATTATTTAAAATTATTTTATTTCTAATATTAAAATACTCATATAAGTCCATAAATATCCTTACATACTTCCATCCGATTCTAAGAACGGATTTTTTAAAAAACATTTTCTTTCATTTTCATTTTGGCTAAGATCTTTAAACCGATGTTTGGTTCATGGATTAGAATCATGTGATTAGAACTATTTTCGATTTATGTGTATTTTTTGTGAGAGAAAACACTGTTGCGAACCATAAATCATCCTCCAACCAAACATCTTAAATGACTTCTTTTTCTTTTCTTTTCTTTTTTTTTTTGCTCATTTTCGTTGGGAGCATTTAGGAGTTGGAAAGTTTTTTCCGTGAGGTGTGTCTGTGAAGTGTACGGTCATCGTATTCGTCTGATGATCATCATCCAAAGAAAAAAAAAACAAAAAAGAAAAAAAGTTGACAAAAAAAAAAACAGAAAAGAAGAAACAATGTGCGTGTTTGGAATCATTTTTGAAAATAATTTTCACTTATTTCGAGAAGTAAAAAATGAAAATGAAAACGAAACGATGTTAGTTTAACAAATGTTTTGAAAATGAAAATGAAAACCGTAAGAATGATTTTTGTGAATAAATTAAAAAACAGTTGAAAATTATTTTTATTTTTTAGTACTTATTAATAATATTATAATATATTAATTAATAAATACAATTTCACTTTTTTATTATACTCAAAATAATTTCTTAAAAAATCAACTAAACACAATTTTAAAATTGATTTAAAAATAATTCTCAAAATAATCTTATTTTTACTTTTTATTAAAAATAAAATTATTTTAAAACTAATTCTAAACACACACAATGAATCTCAACTATTTTCGTGCTTTGTGCGCTTCGCAAGAATTCAAAGAGCTCTGAGGTCTATTGTGCGCAGACGGTCTAAAAGCACGTACAGGTTGAATCAAATGGTATCAGGTCTATAGGAATATTCAGAAAAAAAAAAAGTTGAATCAAATGGTATCAAGTATCAAGTCTTTCAAAGGAATATTAAGAAAAAAGTCTTTCAAAGGAAAATTATGGAAAAAAGTTTATTATGTGCGCAGATGCAGTCTAAAAGCTTTCAGCAAAAAAAGATGCAGTCTAAAAGCACAAATACACAAATATAGTGGTTTCAAGTCTTTTAAAGGAAAATGAGAAAAAAAAAATACGGGGGCTATAAAATATATAACTTATAAGGGTGTTTGTGGAAACATGTAGGCTTTAAGCATTAAAAGAAAACAAATTCAAATGTTAAATATAGTTTAGTGTCTTAATAAAATCATGGGGTGTAAATAGAAGTTCCCATAACTTATATTTAAATATAGGAAAACTTTTAAAAATGCAATTAATAAAGTAATACTATTTTTTTTTACTATTGTTATTAAATTTATCTTATACTATTAGTAACCTGCAGGTTATGATTACTTCGTATTCTACAAGTTATTTTCTGTAGTGATATTAAAATTTTATATGGTGACATAAATAATAAATTAATTGAGAAAAATAATAGTTAATCTTAAAATTTTCTCCTAAATATATTTATATAAACAAAGTGTTTGAAAAATAATGGGGTAGATAACAAATGACATGTATCGATGACACAAGAATTCAAATTCAAGTAGTAGCCTAATCTTCCAAATATACTGAGAAAATTAAACTACGACTTTATCAAAAACAACTATTTACAAAATCAAATTTTAAGCGAAAGATGAAGATAACCTAACTTGTGCAAATAATACATACTAAGTATATCAAAATATTCAGAAGATATCTAGATTCAAAAAATTGATATATCAATTATAATATAATATTGTATCAATAAAAATTTCGTTTTATTACTTTTTATATTTTTTTTAAAAACTAAAGTTTTGTGTTATTCAATTGTCGTGCTTTATTAATTATGACTGAATGAATTATATATATATATATACATATATATTATACTCTATATTTTTCATTTGGGTTTTTATCAGATAAATATTATCAATAGAGATTTAGTGATTTGAAAAACTATAACATATCCTTGACTATCATATACGTGTGTTCAAATTTAAAAACATAGATAATTATCAACCAATCTCACCCCACGTCGTGTATTATAAATTTGAGGTCATAGACTCACGATCTACGATCACAAACTTGCAAAGCTTGAAAGTAAAAAAGGCTTAGCAAAAATGAAGAGCTTGAGTGCTATAGTACTCCTTGTTTTCTTAGCCGTGTGTGCTCACGAGGCACACTCGTGGCCATGGTGGAAACGAATTCCGCCAGGGCCGCCGTCTCCTCCTGTTGACTCGGTCTCGGCACCGGCCCCGAATGGATCGGACTCCCCACCGGAGCCGCCGATAGCGGATGAAATCGCAAAATGTCAGGCTGCTCGCAGCTTTAGCAAGTGGAAGCCATGCGTGGATGAGATTGTACAAGAAAAAAGAAGTGGAAATTTCACTTTAGGGCCAGCTTGTTGCAGCTACGTGGTCGGTGTCGTAGACAGTTGCTACAGCCACTTTCCGCCACAATTTAAGGATCAGATCTACCCTCCGAGGGTTAGGGCAGTTTGCTCTCAGTACCATTAATCTCATCATTATATTATGCGCCGCCAATGATTAGCTGTTTTGATGTCATGTTTTTTGTGTTTAATTTGGTTAGGTTTTAATGTTTTTGTGATGTTAATTAGGTGTTAGTGCTTTTGTTCAGTTCTCATGTTTTCTATTTAATTGGGGCGCTTTACAAATAATTAATGAATAATATTTTACTTTTTTTTTAATGAATGATGTTTTTAATATATATTATTTATCGTATTGTTTTATTTCCTATATGTTTATTCTTTCTACATTTTGCGTCAAGGTTTATTTCGTTGTTTAATCGACAGGTACAAAGTGGATTTTTTTTACGTACGTGATAAAATAGAGGTCATAATTTAATATATCCTTCCAATTTGCAAACATGGTATAATTAAATACCTCACGTTCTATCAAAACTTAGCCTATTTTGGTGGTATTAGATCAATACTATCTAATTTAAAATACAACTAAAATCTGGGAGATTTAATTAACAAATAGTTACGAAATCTACTCAAACTACTAATTCAGTATAATAATATGATATGTTAATTTGGCTTTATTCTTTTTTATAATTTTTTTAGTATTTGAAAAGTTTTCTTTTCTATTCATGATCTTGAATACACTTGATCAAATTATGAATGAATGATTTTTTTTTAGATATGTTTAATGTTCTCCATAGTTTTTTTTTAAAGGTTGTTCTTCATATATTTTTTATTTACATAAATGTTTATTTACTAATTAAGTATTTTGTATTGAGATTTTGTTGTATACTTGTTGAATCAACAGGAAGAAAAAGATGAATTGTTTTCACATGAAAAAAAAGGAGTTCATGAATCAATATCCTCGCTAATTTATTTCCTAAAAGTTAAGCAAACTTGATAGTTAAAACCAGTTTTAATGAATATCTCAGGTCCAACTGTTGTGCATGGTTATCGTTTTGCCTCATTAAGAGAAGAAGAAAAAAAAAAAGGATCAAAGTACGTATAAAGTGCTACTACAGAAAATTTTCAATCTTTGAAAAAGAAATCTTAGCAAAATAAGAAGAAAAAAAAAAAGGATCAAAGTACGTATAGAGTGCTACTACAGAAAATTTTCAATCTTTGAAAAAGAAATCTTAGCAAAATTTCTACGAAAAAATACCATCTATCATAATAGTACGAAAAATGAATTCGATGACGTCTAAGAATCAATCAAACAGAAAGGAAACCTTTTGAGAAAACTGAAAAATTAATCTTAACTGACACGATTGTTTTTTATAATCTTATGAGCAAAATTAACAAGCCCAAGATTTCTTTTCTTTTTTTCTTTTTCTTTGTTTTGCCTCAGTTTAACGTTTTCTCTTTATGGGCTTTCATCTTTTAATATTCATATACCAGTCGCTTACCACCTTCAATGATCTTTCTCATATATATCAACGAACACAAGCATCCATATATTAGTTTTATTTTATTTTATTTTGGACTTTTTTGTATGAGACCCTGAACTTTTCGTGTTTGGCGGATTGGTCTCTGAATTAAAAATTTTAGAAATTAGCTCCTTAAATTTTAAAATTTGTTGAATTAGTAGTCCTTTTAGTAACGTTCGTCAATTTTTGAACGGTGCACTTGAACTCTTAATAAGGGCATTAATGGTCTTTTTATTAAAAATTAGGAATTAACCAAAAGAATAATAATAAAACACGTCCCCGATATTCAATCTTCTTCACTCTTTCGCTCGCTCGCTCGCTCGCCTCGCCTTCAACCTCTCCACTCCTCCTCTCCGCTGGGGAACCGCTGCCGAATCTCCTCGTATTTGGTTCTTAGAGAAAATCCGGATGAAAAGAAATGAAAAGATTGAGGAAGTTTTGGTCTCTGATTGCTCCGTGGATTAGTTTAACTCTGATCAATTATGAGCTTTTATGTAAATGTATATGTTCCGTCAAATTCTGGATCGAATTATTATTATGTTGTCTTGGAAGGATATGTTGGTGATTGAGTTGTTTTGGATTTGGGTTTAGTCTAATTGATTGCAGATGGATGAAAGTGTATTGTTTACGGTGGTTTTTGGGATTATTTGGTTGTTTTGACGTTTGCTATTACCCAATTAAAGAAATGATTTGGAATCTCATAATGCCCCCATATTACAACTTGCTCATCTTTGTTTGTTCAGATACGGTGTTTTCAAATATGATCTTTTTTATTTTTTATTTTTTATTTTTATATTTTTTTCCTTCCGGATCTGGGTTTCTTCTTCAATATGAATGTTTGTTTGCTTCTTCTTCTTTTTTTTTTTTTTTTTAAGTGTGTTTTATTAAGAAAATTACTGACAAATGCCCTTAAGAAGAGTTATGTAACAAGCACGTGATCCATTCCGTCTAAAAACTTAACACCGTCATTAATTGGACTATTATTGCAATGAATTTCAAAATTTAGAGAATCGATTGCAAAAAATTTTAATTTAGAGACCAATAGAAATTAGTTTCCTAAATTTTAAAATTTGTTACATTAGTAGTCCTTTTAGTAACGTTCGTCAATTTTTGAACGGGTTTAGACCATTTTTTACAGGTGACTTGCACTTGAACTCTTAATAAGGGCATTAATGGTCTTTTTATTAAAAATTAGGAATTAACCAAAAGAATAATAATAAAACACGTCCCCGATATTCAATCTTCTTCACTCTTTCGCTCGCTCGCTCGCTCGCCTCGCCTTCAACCTCTCCACTCCTCCTCTCCGCTGGGGACCTTAGTCGGAACCGCTGCCGAATCTCCTCGTATTTGGTTCTTAGAGAAAATCGGGATGAAAAGATTGAGGAAGTTTTGGTCTCTGATTGCTCGGTGGATTTAGTTTAACTCTGATCAATTATGAACTTTTATGTAAATGTATATGTCCGTCAAATTCTGGATCGAATTATTATTATGTTGTCTTGGAAGGATATGTTGGTGATTGAGTTGTTTTGGATTTGGGTTTAGTCTAATTGATTGCAGATGGATGAAAGTGTATTGTTTACGGTGGTTTTTGGGATTATTTGGTTGTTTTGACGTTTGCTATTACCCAATTAAAGAAATGATTTGGAATCTCATGATGCCCCCATATTACAACTTGCTCATCTTTGTTTGTTCAGATACGGTGTTTTCAAATATGATCTTTTTTATTTTTATATTTTTTTCCTTCCGGATCTGGGTTTCTCCTTCAATATGAATGTTTGTTTGCTTCTTCTTTTCTTTTTTTTTTTAAGTGTGTTTTATTAAGAAAATTACTGACAAATGCCCTTAAGAAGAGTCATGTAACAAGCACGTGATCCATTCCGTCTAAAAACTTAACACCGTCATTAATTGGACTATTATTGCAATGAATTTCAAAATTTAGAGAATCGATTGCAAAAAATTTTAATTTAGAGACCAATCCACCAAACATAGAAAGTTCAGGGGAGTCTTATGCAAAAAAAAAAAAAAAAAAAAAAAAAAAAAACCTTTTTTTT